GTTCCTCTTTTCAGCCTTCTAATAACCCACACAGGTCCTAAGACATGCTTGTTTGCCTGGAAAAAGACTAATTCCATTTTTTTAAATGCAATCTTTTAATGAGAATTAATGGTGGTTGAGGGGCAGATACCTTCAAGCTGATAGGTTGATTGATATTCTCCAATGATAACGGGAAGCATCAGCTTTAGCTAGCTTATGAGCAGGACTTTCAGCTCTCCAGCCTCAGTTTCCCACTCTTAACATATGTACAAAGAGAGGGTTTAAGTTCCAAGTTTTCTGTTTTGTCTGTGCTACCACAGAATCTGGACATGAATCCCAGCAAATTTGGACCTTGTAACACTTGCCTGATAGATTGTAAGTGGTGAATCACCCCTATTTCTCACTCTCTTATCCGAAGAACATGACAGTACAGTCTTAAATTCTGTGAGCACAGATGTCAGAACTCTGAGTCCGTGTTTGTCTAACTCTACTGTGTTAGTCAGCACCACACCCCAAAACTCTGCTCTGAGGGTCCATGTGCAAGGAGATGTATTCAGTGACAGAGTGCTGAGGGTTTCTCTCAGTGATGCAACCAGCCTCCAGACAACATGATGAGTCTTCATAGCATTGGCAAAGATGGGTATTAATCAAATAACCATATAAATGGAAGTATAATTCAATTCTAAGCTAATATAAGAATCATGCCTTGGCTGGAGATGCATCTTAATGGCTGACTGTTTACTTAGCATGTGCAAAGCTCTGGCTTTCATGCCCAGCAACAACACACACACACACACACACACACACACACACACACTATTCAGAGAAAGAATTTGGCTCCCATGAGCTAATACAATAGAGTCAGCCCTACTCTTATAGCAGGTATTCCTGGGACACTGAGGAGGAGGGACTAGGGTGGTATGGAGGCTTCTCTGTGTGTTATTATTCAAATTAGCCTTTCTTTAGTCATTTTGTGCAGGCAGTGATTTCTCTTCTTCTCTTTTGATGAAAGCATCATTTGCATAAGGTAGAATTCACCCTTTCCAGGTGTGCTGTTCTGTGACTGTTGATGTGCAGTCACAAGTCTGAAGTGGACACCCCAATCAAGAGAGACACAGTTTCCATCCTTCTTGCTTTCTTTGTGATCTGTAGCCTACAGAAGTGGACCACAGGGAAGACAAGAGGCATGTAAAATTACAATCAGGCTCTCCCTAAATCTTTGAGTGCTGCCCTCATTATTCCAGCCCTGGGTTCCTTCAACTACCCGGGAGAACTCAGTCCAGAGACCCAGGCAGCTGCAGCCTGCCCTTCAGTCCGAAACCTGGAAGAAGCGCTCTGTACTTCAGAAGCCTCTTAAACAAACTGGGACATTGAATAAGTTCCTAGGCAAAGTTGTGAACTCCCTGTGGACCTTGTAACCTTTGGGACAATGGAGAAGGAATGTGGCTTCCTTCCAGGCCAGAAACCCATGCTCCCTTCCTGGAAGAACAGTGAGGGTATTCCTCCAGACCCTGCCTCTGCTGTGGTCTGCCTCTGCTAACTGCTCTGAAGACAGCCTGTCCTGGGTTTGTGTCACTCTGATACAGCTTCTTATTTAGGCTGGCTTCCTGTGCTTTCAAAGTCCAAGAAAGCAGAATCTCACTCTAGCCCCTTCCGGCCAGCCAGCTCCTCTTGCTGTCAGTGCTGGGTGTCTGCAGAACCACCTTGAAGGAGGAGGGTGAAAACACAGGTGGCAGTTAAACACCTGCAAAGAATCTCAGGTGTTTGCGTTTGTGGTGTATCCCTGCACACCACCGTTTCCACTTGCAGCAGGAGAGTAGGGCAGAAAGTGAGGTCAAAGTTAGCATGGGAAAGAAACTAGCTGACTGAAGGGAAGACTACTAACCCCTTCTCACCAAAGCTGAGGTGTAACAAATAGAGCCTGTGCAAAGGTTCCTTCCAATCTGTGAGACAGGACATGGGTACCATTGAGCTACTGACCCACTTCCTCCCCTGGAAGTGCTTTCTTCCGTAATAAACTTGTTCTGCTTCTACCGCTGTCTGTGTGTCCCTGTCAAGTTTCTCATTCTGAGACACAAGAACATGAAAGCCCCAGTGGGTGCTCACTGGGTTCCTGTATCTTCTAATAGCATCAACAAATGTCTTACAGTGGAAACACAGGGGCTGCTGTTAGCAAAGTGATAGTGACTGAGTCTGTGCAAGGTGAGGTCTTTTTCTCAAGGTAATTAAACCCAAGCAGAGAGAGGCTAGAGCAAAGTGTCCCCCCCTTCTTCCCTCCATCCCCTCCTCCTCCTCCTCCTCCTCTTCCTTCTCTCTCTCTCTCCCCCTTTATCTCCCTCCCTCCTTCCCTCTCTCCCCTTCTCTGAACAAGCTCACCTTCTTCCACCAGCCAAGTGTTTTTGCAGTTGAGGCCTGAGAGGCAGATGCCAAGGCCATGCTAGTGAGATGAGGCCTCTGAAGGAGGTGCAGGCAAATGGCAGGCCTGCTTCTGCCACCATCCTGTAACTCCCTATCACAACAGATTTCTTCCAGGCAGAGGCTTAAAGACAGACACCCCCAGCCTATAGTCTGAGTGTCACAATTACCACAAGGCCCATCTTTGAATCCTGGTGCTTTCCCCAGATCCCTGAAGCCCTCTGCCCCACCCCCCACCCCATTTCAAGTAGGCGTGACTTGAGGGAACACATTCCATGGACTCTTTTGTGTTTTGCAATCACACTTTCAAAACAGGCTGAAAAGGAGTTTCATTCGGTTAGAATATAATGTTAAAACAATACGTAGTTTCTCATGAGTGAGGAAATCAATTGTTTGCTTATGTCTGAACCTGCTGACCAAGAGAAAAAGGAGGAAGAACCCACTTGAAGCAAAAAGGTAGTGCTGAGCCAGGCATTCGTTCTGGAAAAAGAAAAAAAAAACAGATCTGGGTGTGGCCTGTGTCATTCTATGAACATCAGGCAAAGGTCAGGAGATGCTGCTGGGTACCATCCTCTCAGAGCCTAACCACCGTGATGTGTTTTGTGTTCTTTGTAAACTCCGTTTTCCTGAGATTGCTGTGTCACTACTGGTTAGCCCAAGAACACGAGCCGCATTAGAGATCCCAGCCTTGTCCACAGCACAGCGTTGTTCCCAGTGTCACCCACACAGGAGGCCAGAACCACCTGGACCGGAGCCAGTTTCTCCCCCAGCCCTCTGAGAGCATTTTCTCGCCTCTCTGTGATGGCAGAGGTCTGTGTGGCCCTCCATGTTCATGAGATGTAGAAGGGGAAAGTAAAGCTCGAGCTCTCGGAGTTTGGATTGCCTATAGGGTCACTCTCACCCTGCAAACATCCGCCTCCTTAAACTGTGACCAGTACTCCAGTCCACCACCACAGTTGCCCCAGGGCTGATAGCAACCCTTGCAAAGTGGCTCTATGTCCTTAAAGGTCATTCTTGCACTGCCTTGCATTTGCCTCCATGGTGTTTCCCATTCCAATGTAACCTCCTCTTTATTCATGTAAGCGTCTATTGACCCAATGGCTCATAACCTTGCAGTTTTTAAACATGTACTATGAGCCGGAAACTGCTTGCTCATCATTTGACTCCTCATACAACCGAATGGAGGTAGCACTTCTGGCTCCCATTTTCAAACACTGGAGGGGGCCTGTGGTAACATAAACCCAACTATCAGGCTGGGGTCAAATCAAGGTGTCTGTGATAGTCCTAGTCCATATTAGCTCTGCTGACTAGACAAGACAAACTGCATGTTTCTTTTTTTAGGGACTTGTAAATACTCTAGAAGTTTCTGTTATCTTTCTAAACAATTTTCAAACCCAGCATGTTCCTGATAAAACATCCCAGAGTGGCTTGCAGCACTAAGGAAATTCCCTTCCTCAGGACTCACAGCATCATCCACCTGCACCTCTTTGGGCTCACCTCCATTCTCACTGATCACTGGAATGCATGATGAAATCTCCACCTGTGGGGCCACGGTGAAGCGCTTTGTTGCACAAGTGTGAGGACCTGAGTCAAGATCCCCCTCAAACCCACATAAAAGCCTGACATGGTAGTATTCATCTGCAACCCAGTCTTAGAAAGTAAGAGAGATCCCGAAGGACTCATCTACCTGAAGACAGGGAGATCCAGATCAATGACAGGTCCTGTCTCAATTTAAAAAATAAAATAAAATAAGGTAGAGACACAATTTACAAAGACATCCCGATATTAACTTCTGACCTCCATAAGTGCCTACAGAGGTGAATAACATATGCACACAGCCATACTGCCAATACACACACACACACACACAAACACACACACACACACACACACACACACACACACACACACACACACACACTGCCTTCCCACAGTAACAGCCCAAGTCGACACCAAGAATCTCTGCCCTACTTGCATGCCTAAAATTATCTGAATGACTTACTTAACTGTTTTTTCCTCATGTTTGCCTCATGGAAACTTTCATATTCCTACACATAAAATTCAGATAGTTACACCTTTCCACAAAAAAGACCCTAGAGATCAGTGTAACAAAGACAGTAATGCCTGTCATTACCAGCAGCGATAAGGATTGGTTCGTACCAGAGAAATGACCTTGGCATTCAGAAACAATACATGAATTCGGGCCATAGCCCTCTCATGATAATCTTGAGTTTTACATGTCAGAGAACAGAACAGGCAATGTTGAAGCACACACAGAAAAACACTCAGCTGGGAAACTAAAGATGCCTCAGATCCTAGAGTGTCTGAAAACACAGACATGAGGCATCCTGTATAAAGTTGTTATGGTTACACAAATAAAAAATAAATACCTGTGTGCACAGAGATAACATAAACTCCTTCTACATGGAAAATAACTTTCTTTTGGAAGGGACATTTAAAGCCAGAGATTGTGCCGTGAGCAGGTGATAGGGTGCAGGGCAGCCTTTAATGTATGTCCTGGAGCTTGCATGTTTGTGAGCATAAAAGAAGGCATAAAAATGAGGGAACTGGGAGAGAGAAAGGAAGGACAAGAGACACTCAACAGCTCATTGTAATCTGTTTATTTTGTACATGTGACATCATAAGCAAAGGCTTTGCCTGTGTTCTAGCTAAACTCCAATAAATAAATATGTACAAATACGCTGAGCTTACAAAACAGTAAAGAAAAACCTTTCCTTACAAAAGATACACATATGATACATTTGTTTCTTTCACTGACATATGAGTTCATTCCTAGCTTAGTTAAACCAAAACCCTTCTGGACCCTGTGTGGCAATATCTAGAGGTGTGTACCTAGTCATTTTTTTTTTTTTAGACAGAAAGCGAAGCTATGCAGTGAAAAATTCCTCAGTTTCTTAATAATAAATGGCCTACCATGGCCTGCTACTTATTATTAACTGACATTTAATGTTCTCCAGAAAGTTGTTAAAATGCAGCTTCTTGTAAGTGGGGAGGGTGAGTTTAGGATTTTGCAATTCTAGCCAGATCCCAAGGGAGGTTCCAATTCTTGTTCATGGGCCAGTGGCCAGGGCTAAAAGGTCCCTCTGAAGTAGAAGATATTGTCCAAGAACCTCATTAAGACGAGGCCATATCTAGGCACCCACCAGGCTCTATTCCCAAGTTCCCACATCTCCCTAAGCATCATACTGCTTTTATTTGGGACTGTAAGTGACAAGAGCAGTTGAGAGTCAGCTAGGCACAAAGCATATAACTCAAAATTTTTCTGGAAGATGCTTCCATCTGTCAGTCTCAGATATGTCCAGCCTAAGGACCACATACATCCCAGGATAGCTATGAATGTGGCCCAATACGTCTGAAGATGGCAATGTCCTATTGCAACACCAAAACGTTGGAGGAAGGCTCATCTGAACATTTTCAACACTGTCAAAAATAAGTAACACTATAGGAGCCGGCATACAAAAAGCTTAACAATAATTACCTTTTGGTCATTCTAAATCAAAACAACAGCAACAACAATAAAACCCAGGCTCACCTTTTCAACAATAAAGATGAAAAAACACAAAACAAAAAAACCCAACCTCCTTGAATTTAATTTCTGTGACATTCCAGCACTATTAACTAGTGTTCAGCTGTAGCATTTTAACTTTCCTTAAAATTATTTTGCTCTGGAAACCTGAATTTTCCAATTAAATTTCCAAAGCCAGTGAAAAAGAAAACTTTCTGCGTTTAGTGTTTCTTTTCTGTTTCACTTAAGAGTTTTGTCTGGAGAGAAGGATGAAAGCAAAGTAAGATCAGGTTTGGGGGGCAGAAAAATGAGAAAGGGAGTGTGTGAAGGGAAGGGGAAGGCATAGAGGGACAGAGAAAGGGTGGGAGGATTGGAGACTTACAAACAGGGAAAACCAAAGGGAATGAAATGCTAAGTACTCTAAAAAAATAAATATCTGGGTCATCTCTAGCCCGTGACGTCAAGCTTTTTGCCTAAAGGCTAAAGATCAGCAGCGCCTACACATCCTGCACTCTGAGGTGAGGGCCTGGGACACTCTTCACTGTGTATTTGCGACCTCCGCCCGCCCAGTTGTTCAGTATGGACTTGGAAGAAGCTGGGCTCTCTCACTTCAAGTCCTCCCCACCCCTGCTTCTCATGGGGATGGGATAAGGTCTTCTCCGGTTATCTTGGCAGCGGGGACGCTTTTAAGTTGTCAGGGAGCACAGCTGGGAGGGCCGGAGAGAGAGAGAGAAGAGGTACTGAACCAGGAAAGACAAAGGCAACCTGGGTCTCTGGAGCAAAGTCCCTCAGAACTTCTGCAGCGTCCGATCAGTCCTCACCTGCTGCAGTACTACCTCCTTGGCTGGAGATGCGCACTTGTACTCCAGCTGTGCACGCGCCGCTCCCTGCTTCTTGCGCAGGTGACAAAGAAGCGCCAAAAGCGCCACCACCAGGGACAGGCTGGCGATGGAGGTGCCAATGAGCACGCCAGAATTCACTGGCTTTGTGGACGGCGGACCTGTTGGAAAGCCTGGCGTCGTACTGACCGGGAGCTCCCCAGAGCCGGAGTCCTCATTGTATTTATTAACAGGGATGGGGTCACAGTCCTTGGTAACCTGGCCGACAAGGGCCGTGTCAGGCCCACAGATGCACTCATAGGAGCCCGGAAGATTTCGACACTCACTGCCCGGGGAGCATTCTCCTTGACTGCACTCGTCAATGTCCGCGCATATGGCACCTTCGTCCAGGATGAAGCCTTCAGGGCAATGGCAAAACTCAGGGGTGTTAGGGTCACAGTCTGCTGGGCATGAACTCTCATTGCAGAACATTTCGCAGCTGTGAGGTTCGTGGGGTTTAGGTGCGAAGCCCTCAGCACAGATACAACGGTACTCGGTGGGGCTCACTGGCTGGCACTGATATTCGCAGTTAGATCCGAAGCACGGATCTAGGATCTCCACACACTCTCCATCCACAAACTCATAGCCATCATAGCAGAGACATTCAAAGCCACCCTTGGTGTTGACACAGAGCTGCGGGCATGGATTGGGCCCCTGCTTACAATCATCCACATCCTCGCAACGGTGTTGGTCCGCTGCCAATTGGTAGCCTGTCTCGCACATACAGGAGTACGAGCCGGGCACGTCGGGGCTGTTGACACAAAAATGCTCGCAGAGGTCGTTGCAGGATGACACCAAGGGTTTTATGCATGAACGACCATCCGCCTGCAGGTCGGTGTCGCTGGGGCAGAGGCATCTGGGCTCGCCTGTGCTCCGGTTGCACAAGTACTCGCAGCCACCATTCTCCACGCTGCAGTCCCAGGCTCCTGTCGCTTCCCAAGACCAGTGTCCCTCAGAAGTTCCAGGCTGGGCCCTACACACTAGCTCCAAGCCAAGGGGCTCCACCACAGCGGTGCTGCCTACCGGCAGGGTCTGAAAGTCCGCACCACGGACCCCGAAAGGGGCTTGGTAGGTGCTGAAGATGTGAGCAGCCTCAGGATCTCGGGGATCCACCGCCAGAGGCCTGCAGGACGTTGTGAAGTGGAACTCGCAGAGGAAGCTGTCGGCTTCGGTCTCGCACCGCTGCTCCTCCCAGGCAGGCTCACCGGGTGCAGCCGCTGTTGCGGTTGAGACCGTGACACACAGCGGGCCGCAGAGTGGAGCCGCCTGGTCGTTGGACCGCGCCCACCTGCTGTAACTTGTGTGGTTGTCGCCAGTAACCCATTGGAAGCCGCGCAGGGACCCGAGATGCCCCGGGTCGCCGCAGCCCTGTGGGAGCTGTAAGCCGATCCAGGGGCGTGAGTTCATACTATTGTTGTCGCTCAGCAGAAGGGAGATGACATCGGCAGCCACTGAGGAGCGCACTGTCATTAGATGTCCTTGTAGGCTCTCGCAGGCACTGCTGGCATCGAGGAAGGTCAAGGGGCCCTGGAAAAGCGCGAAGCACTCGTATTCCACGCACTGACTGCCTCGGGACTGCAACTTGGCTGCTGGGGAGATCCCCAGGCCGGCTGGAGCCAGCACACCTAGAAGGAGAACCCCAAGCATGCTGTCCAGTGGTTAGTGTGCAAGTTCCGGGGAAAACGCTAGTCCAGCGACGGTGTAGGCACCCAGCGCCCGAGGGGAGCTTTCGGACGCCTCGGGCAAGAGCAGCTAGCCTCTGTCTCAGCCTAGACGTTTCTAGCCCAAGCTCCTAGTCCCAGCGAGTCAGCCTCTGACATGCCACTCCGCTGCGGCTCCAGTTTATAAATGCGCGGCCCTCCCTCTCTGGACGTTCGGGAAAAGGAAGGAAGTGCTTGGTGGGAAGGGCTGATGCTGCATTCTCGGATTACTGGGTTCTCCGGACGCCTTGCGCCCGCCCTCCAGCCTAGGATCACCTCTGTGTGATGAGTAAAACTCGGCCAGGGCTCACGGAGGTCCTCGGGCGGAGCCCGCAGGCACCACCACCAAGGAACAGAACTCTGTCAGCGAGGCGACAGTTCCCGCCCCAGACACTCCGAGGTAGCCTGTGGGTAGCCTGTCTTTAAGCCCCTTCATACACACACACACACACACACACACACACACACACACACACACACACACACACAAGCATGCACTTCCCCATAGAGGCTACCAAACTTTAAAGGATGGTCTTGTTGGTGGGGCTTTAGGAAGAAGAAACTAAGAGTCGGTTAGAGGGTGTGTCTGAAACCTGCAGGACACTGGGAGGGATTATCAAACATCAAGAGGATGGACAGGATTGATTAAGCTAGACCACGGAGGACTAACTAGGAAGCCTGGCTGCGGCCACAAATGGAGAGCTAAGTCCCAAAGGAACTTAGACTGGGTTTGGGAAACAACTCCACCAGCAAGAAGACTGGCCTAATAACACCACACCCTCCCCTCCGCCCCTCCTCTCCACTCTGACGACTGGCCGGCAATGGCCAGTTCCTGGGCAGGTATCTCCAAGGCCGGACCCTCTCTGGTTGCGTGAGAAAGTCGTGCAAGCGCTGGGCTCAGAGATCCTGGCCCTCTTCCCTAGTACTACTCCTGAAGAACCCTGTAGGGGAGAGTGTTGCGTTCCTTTGTTCTGGTGTTTTGTTTTGTTTTGTTTTGTTTACTCCAAGCCCATCCCCCGCACACCTCAAAGAAACTGGCTAGAGAGCCACCGCAAGGAGGCGGTGTGAGCTGCAACGGAGTCCACTTGGTTTCCTTTGAGGTGATGATTGAGAGGCTCAAAAGATAGAGATGCCTACACATTCCATTTGCTCACAAAAGGCATTCAAGAGGAGGGGTCCTGTGGGCAGGATGCCGAGCCTCTGGGAGGGGCGGATGGGAGTCTGTCACTAGGACTTTTATCTGCATTAGCACTCACCAACTCTGGGAGGGGCGGATGGGAGTCTGTTACTTAGGACTTTTATCTGCTTAAGCACTCACCAAGAATGTGGAGGGCGGGGTCCAAATCAAAGCGCGCGCGTGCGCACACACACACACACACACACACACACACACACACACACACACACACACACACCCCTACCCTCTACGGCTGTCACTTCCACCCCACTGCCAGGAGGCGGCGCTGTTGAACTCTAGACTAAACCAAGGATAATGGAGCATAACAACAACTACTATGGAGAAGAGTGTGGGCTGCTTGGGGCCTAGCCTGATATTAGGAAATTCAGCTGTGGGAAGCCCCACATAGTTCTCACTGCTTAAACATGAATCGCTTTGCTGATCCAGTAGAGCTTGGACTTTAATCGGGAACAGAAGATTGCTGTATCCTCATGTGGGGAAAAGGGGTAGGGTGAGAGCACCAAGACTGTGAAAGGAAGCAGGTGGGACATCCTCCGTAGCCCATGCGGAGCTCTGCCAAGCCAGAGCTGGGACCTGTAGAGTCCACCATTCCATTGGCTTAACTTTTCTTTATTGGTTCAAAACTTCCCCAACTTTCAGTCAAGAAAACTCCAGAGCTGCTAATGGATACCAAGCTTTTAAGCTCTGGGAATGAGTACAGCTACATGGGTTCTGGGAAAGAGGAAGGAATGGCCAAGGATTGGACAATGAGGATGGCCTATGGGGAAGGAGGCAACCTTCTGATGTGAGATGGGACCTCCAGGGGCATTACCCCAATGTAGAGACATTCTCTAGGTAGAAGACAACAGGACCTCCTGCACTGTCTGAAGAGTGTGAACCAGGGGCCTTCTTCAAGCACTAGTAAATCAGTACTGTGACAGCACAGCATTAAAGGGTGGTTATCCTCCTGAGCTGGGACTTCTGAACATGCCAGCTGTCTTAATTAAGGTTTCTGTTGCTGTGATAAAACACCATGACCAAAAGCAACTGGGAAGGAAAGGGTTTATTTCATCTTAATAGCATACAGACTGTCATCCAGAGGAGTTAGGGCAGGAACCTAAAGGCAGGAACTGATGCAGAGGCCATAGCAGAATGTTGCTTACTGGCTTACTCCTCACGGCTTGCTCAGTTTGCTTCTTATATCACTCAGGATCACCACCCTAAGGATGGCACTGCCCACAAGGAGATGGGTTCTCCCACACCAGTCATCAGTCAAGAAAGTACTCAACTACAGGACAATCTAGAGGGCAAATTTTCTCAATTAAGGTCCCCTCTTCCCAAATGACTCTAGCTTGTGCCAAGTTGGCACTGAACTAGCCAGCAGACCAACCCTGAATATGATCAAGAGCTGGTTAGGGTCTTGGAGGGGTTTTGCTGATTCATTGCCATCTTTCATGGGTGTTGTATGACAAGACTTTTTCAGGGAGATGCAACACAGGTCTACTCACCCTGGGTAGGGAATCCATGACAAACCAAAGTACAGATACAAAGTCCAACTTGGTGAACCAATGTGTTTTATTGGGTTACTTGGAGGAATATGGGTGAGGGGTTACTTAGAAGGCACTCAAAGACAACTGCATCACCAAAGCCCACCTCAGAATATGTGACAGCCCACAAAGCTGGGAACCTGGAGCACATTTCCCAGCCTGCAGAGCGCTCAGCAGTTTGCAGAGTGTCCTTTCCAGGTGTTTCAGTTTTTCTAAACATCTTCCAGCCCACTGACTTGGCTTCAAGGTCTTCTTTGCAGCGTGGCTCCACTCTTCCGAGAGAGAATCTCAGCTTTTATTGCTTATTCTGGCAGGAAGGGGCCTCGTAAATTTGGTCAGTTTCAGGGACTTCCTGAAGATATTTTTGAGTTGTTTACTTTCTCTGCAGGGTAGAATGTTTTAATCTCAGAGGAAACGGTTAACAACAGTGGAGAGTCTTATGCAAGCCAGCCAGGTGGAAAGCATCTTTTCATCCTCTGTCTCAGGCTCCGTCTGTTTTTTTCATGTCCTCTCCATTCTCAAGCATCACTGCTCCTGACATAACAATTGATTTTGAGGCAATTGGGTTCTCGACTCTGTTGCCGGCTTCTAATCTCTCTCCCTTCTCTGCCACTGTCCATGCCACTTGAATCCTCATACCCCTCCTCAGTTTTACTCACTACAGACTCAGAGAATCCTGAGCTCCTTTCTGCTCCCTTTCTTACTGAAGGTGCTCAAGGCCACAAACAAGGGGGTTTGCATTTAAGAACACTGAGCTGAGATCTGGAGTGAGAATCTGCACTCTACCTCCTCACACAGCTTCAGTGATCAATGTTCTTCTGGGCCCAATGGATGTTAAAAGTCCTGGCGAGAGCAGCTTCTAATCAGTATCCAGGATCCAGTCTCCGTCTCCCATCTCTTCCTCTGCTAGGATAACCCACCTCTTCGTCCCTATGTTCTGTAAGCCTTCCCTTCTAAGTCCTCATTGGCAAGCAGCCTCATCAACGAGTGTTTCTGAGTAACTACAACAGAGTTGATCTCCCTGTGACTTTCCTATGAGTCTTTCCACTTTCTGTTCCTTCCCAGTTCACTAAGTCACCCATGTGTCCACCTTTGGCCGCACTTACAGTCTGGCTTCCCGGGGTGGGTCATGGCTCTTGCACCTCTTTGTATCCCTCACATCTAATATCATGGCTTGTGCAGAGTCAGCACCCAGGAGTGACTGAGCATCTGCACACTTAGTAGTGATGTGCACTTTTTGGTGTCCCTCTGGGTGATTTCTTCAAAGAAACCTGCAAAGCCAAGGATGAAGGACCTCAGAACCTTCAGGGTAATTTAGAGTACAGGATTTAGAGCTAACTTGGCTGCTCTTGAGTCCTACCCCCATCATTTACAAGATTTTTCTTTCTTAATTTTAAGATTTTGAAAACCTCACATTTCTCTGGTCTCTCTGGGCCCCAGTTTCCTCAATGGGTGATAAGAATCATAACAGTAAAAGCATTATGAGAATTTCATAGGTTTATGTGTGTAAAGCATTGAGTAAAACTGAACTATAATGAACTCTCAAATTTTAGCTAAAAAACAATCACACATTTCTCTGGAATTTGAGTTCAGCCACTAATTGCTTCCAATGCTCAGCATGGTTCTAGGTCCTCACTAGAAAGTCACTGTCTACCGGATTAAATTTAATGCAGCCAAGCATTTTTGCCAATTATAACAATGAGCAATTGAGAAAAAAAATCTGAAGGAACAAAGGAGGCATAGGGAAACAGTTGAAGATGTTGTGATATAGGCCCTCTGGTTCCAGTCCACACTGGAGGCATCCACTGTTAATCTCCTCATTTTCCAGATGTGGAAACCAAAACCCAGATAGAATAGGTGACCCCCCAAAGATCACACAGTCAATACATGGTGAAATGAGTCACCAGACCTTGTTTAGATAAAAGATCTATAATGCAGGACACATCTGAGGCTTAATTAGTAACATGTCAATTATTTCAGCTCAGTTTTTTAAATCTTTAATTTTCAGACATAAGGTTTGTTTACATCTTTTAAAATTTATTTTAATATTGCCTTATTGCCTGTAGGTCAGAGGACTTATTACAGAGAAGGAGGTAATGTTTTCCAAATTAATCTAAAGATCTGTGCTTTACCTATAAAAATGTCAGCTCATTATTTTTAACATGTAACCTGAGATTCATAAAGTTGTGAATTGAAAAGTCAAAAACTCCTTGGGGAAAAAGAGATCAATAAAGGAAGATTCACACCTACTCCTTTCGAAACATACTCCAAAGCTATAGGAAGCAAAATTTGCAGATGGCCGCTAAATCAGTGAAGTGGAATGAAGAATCTGAACATAACGTATTTATGGTTAATTGATTCCCATAAAGGCATCAAAATTATTATGTGGGATAAGAATAATCTCTTTGCGGCTGGAGAGATGGCTCAGCAGTTAAGAGTACTGGCTGCTCTTCCAGAGAACTCTTCCAAGTTCAGTTCTAGCACCCACATGGCAGTTCAAAACTGGCTGTAGCTTCAGTCCCAGGGGGTTAAATGACCTCCCTCTTCTGGCTTCTGTGGGCAACAGTCATAATGTGGTATACAGACATACATATGGGCAACACACACATACAAATAAAAGTAATAAATATTTTTGAAAGACTAACCTCTTCAACAAGTGATACTGTGTAAACTAGAAAGCCACACGAGGTAGGACTAGAACTCTACCTTACACTATATATAAAAATTAATGAAAAATAGTTTTTAAAACCCTAAATGAGAACACTAAAACTAGAAAGCCTATAGAAGAAATTACATGTGTAAATCTTTGTAAAGTTTGTGACTAGACAATGATTTGTTGGACATGACACCAAAAAAATGGAAGCAAGCAACAAAAGAGAATGCTAACTAGACATGATTGAAGTTAGAAAACTGCATTTCACAGAAAACAGACACCCACATATTAGAAGAAAATATTTACAAGTCAAAACTGATAAACAACTTTCCCCCAAACTATCTAGGGAACCACTGAAAGTCAATAATAACACTGCTAACTCAACTACAATATAGACAAAGGATGTGACAAGGCATTTGTCTAAAACAAATAGTCCACAAGCACTTGAAAAGATGCTCCACAGCACCGGCCAACAGATAAATGCAAATCAAAACTACAGCAAGATATTTCATCACACTGCATAAAGATGGCTGCAATAAAAAACACAGATAATAAATGTTGAGAGATGAGAACCTTCCTGTAAGTTGGAGAGGAGAAAGGCAATGGTACAGCTGCTTTGGGAAGTAGTTGGCAGTCCCTCAAGTTGTTAAACAGCTACCAAGAGAAGCAAATATATTTCCACATAAAACTTTTACATTCACATGCATAACTGCATCATTATTAATAACTGAGTGGTACAAAAAACCCAAATGCCCACAGACTGATAAATGGGTGGATACAAAGTGGGATGTGGAGACCTTGGAGAGTTCTTGATAATAGAAAGGCATGAAGGACTGACTTGTGCCATGATGAGAGATAAACTTTGAAAGTAGTGTGCTAAATAAAAGACATCGCTTACACATTGCATGATTCATTTTCATGAAATTCCGAAAGAAAAATATCTGGAGGGGCAGGGAATACCATAGTGACTGTATAATGGACATACAGTTTATTTAGGGGATGATGATGATGATGTCTCAAAAGTGATTGTAGTGACAGTCACCCATCTAGGTGACTGTGCTAAAGGCCATTGACTTGCACATTGTAAATGGATGAATGGTCTAGTATATGGATCATAGTAAAGCTGCTTTCAGAAAGAACATATATATTTGCTGATTACTAAGCATTAGAACTGACATGGACCCTGCCCTGAGCCTTTCTCCTGCTACTGGGAGCTTCATGGTATGAGGTAGAAAATAAGACTTACAACCAACTCTCCATCAATGGGACTTAGCAAGGATCAGCTCCTCAGATTTCTGCATAATTCAAAGGAGGCTCAGAGATGGCTGGTGAGCTGTGTGGGATCTGTTATCCTTTGTGATCTATGTTGTGACTAGACAAGAAATTGTGTATGGTAGATTCAGGGACTACCAGCTTGGTCATCTCAGTTTGGTGTCCTCATGGCTTCAGGCCTAAGAAGAGTCTTTAAATAAAGTAGGAACCTTGAGGAAAACAGAAAGAGATCAACAGCATCCAAGCCTACTGAGCAAGGCACCTTTCTGAAACAATCTACCTGCAGGGCATGGCAGTATATTATTGGCCAATAGTTGATGAATAAGAGATAAGAAGCAATTGGGCCATGAACCATCTATCATTAGTGGATAAAGCCTATGGACTCATTTTCAGAATAATATTTAAAATAAATACCTCAACCAAAATACAGAATTCCAAAAAGAAATCATTCATATTGAAATGTGATCAAATAAAACAAATATCTGCTAGCAAACAAATGCTTTATTTAAAAAAAACTCAACAACTTTATTGAAAGTGCAATTAAGCTTGTCGAAAGCTTAAAAGATAGGGGAAACTAAGAGAGCCCCCCCGCCAAGTCCAGGAACAAGTACAAAGAGGGCTCTGTCTAGATACTGTAGTGAGAAACGTATGCCCATCTTCCCATTGTTTGGCTTCCCAAGTGCTGTAACTGGGCTCTACCTCAAAGGTGATGGTCTTGCCTGTCAGGGGCTTCACAAAGATTATCATCCCACCCCTGAGGCAAAGCATTCAGTACATGGACTCTTTCCAGATGTTGTAGTCAGACAGGGTACAGCTATCCTTCAGCTGCTTGGTGTTAAAGATTATCCTCTGCTGGTTTGGAAGGATGCTATATTTGTCCTAGATCTTTGCCTTGACATTCTCAGTGGTGTCCCTGAGCTTGCCCTCCTCCACAAATGCTTCTTTTTGAGTATTTTTCATCCCAGTTCTCTATCATTTCAAACTGGTGGTCTGTGTAAATAATGTTTCTAGAGATCTGCACCAACACAAATATCTGTGAATATCTGTGATTCCCACTGCTGGTGGCCCGAGTCCTGTCAACACTGCTGTGGTAAGTGCTGGCTCCTCCTCCTTTTTCTCTTTCTTCTCCTCTTCATCTTTGACCTCCTCTTTTCCCTTCTCATCTTCTCCTCTTCTTCCTCCTCCTTTCCCTTCTTTCTCTGCTCTTGCCTCCTTTGCCTCCCACTTCCTCCCTTCTTTCTTCTTTTCATTTCCCTCTTTCTCTTCCTCCCCTGCTTGCTCCTCCCCTTCTGTTTCTTTTACTTTCTCCTCTTCCTCTTTCTGAATGAAAACATACACTAAATTTCATGTCAAGATTAATGAAAATAAAAATGTACCTGTTCTCCTTTCAAGTTGACAGAACTTCCAAATTAAGAACCACTAAGTTGAAAGAACATAGAACTCTCTGTCAGTCAAATTACAACCTCTAGTATTTTGTCAAGGTACATTATGTCATGTTAGGCTCTCCCTTTAGTTTGCACATCATACTTCTCATAGATCTTATTTTAATTTGAAACACAATGCATTTTTGAAAAGAATATGCTCTTACACTCAGCAACAGCACCCTGGAATCTAGCCCTTATAGAAGAGCCAAGAAATTCAGAAGTGTTATTTGAAAGATGTCAAATGTGCTTTGACTTCTCACAAACATTTCCTGGGGGGTAAGTTCAGAGCTCATGAGTACACAGCACAAGAGGCTTAAACATCAAGCATGTGTAGAGAATATAACTTATTTTGGTAGGGAAGAGAATATAAAAAAAGAACTATCTATTTTAATGTTATGATACAAGAATAATTTAATATGGACTTTAAATTATTAAAGGTGAGAAATCCAGCAGTGAAACATCTGTCCTAAAATTAATTGAACATATTTAATGCTTGCCTTTAATCTTTTTTGGGAAAAAAGCTGAACATTTCATTAACATGAGAAGTATATTGAAAGTATTATAATTAATACAACCACTGGGTGGAAAGTTCTGGAAATAGCCTTGCCTAATTTAGAAACTCTGTGTGTAACAGTTAAATTGTCTCTGAGTGAAAGTATAACAACCACTTTTTAGTTTTCTGTTTTTTGTTATACAAGTATAAATTTCATAAGTAAAGGTTTCAATTTTATAAAGAAGATGAAATTACTTCTAAGCAATGAAAATTAGTGACTCCCAAGTGCTTTGGTTATGAATATAGTCTCATTTTTGCAGTCTTATGCAAACAGGATCTATTTTGATATTTCTAACTCTGTTCACAATGAGCTTCAGATAGAAGCTTTTCTTAGGACTTAAGAAGATATATGTTCTGCATCCTGTGAGCTTACCCTGCATCAGTAAGCCTGATTCCCCAAACACACATTTTACAAGAGGACAGATTTTTATCCCGTGGGTTCAGGCCATTCAGAAGGTGCCTGGCCTTTCTCTAGTCTTTACCACTCCCAGTTTACTAGTTGGCTGCTATATCACACTATATCTTAGCTTAATGTATAGAAGACAGGCAGTGAGAGAGCTCTGTAGGATCCATGGATCTAGAGTAATTCTTGGGACATCCTAGAACAGAGACAGATATGTTTTTCCATAAAGGGTCAGAATCACTCTTTCAGTATGTGTGGAACCTCCCATCTCTGCTGTAACCAGACAGCCTTGCTTTGGTATCATGAAGGAGGAAAACATTAGCTGCATCCCATAACAATTCAATGCCTGCTGCCTTGTAACAAAAATCCCCAGCACTTTCTGTTGGGAACGCTCAATATTTGCGCTTTCCATCCAACCATTACCAAATAGATTTGAACTGAGTTCTTTCAACAGCTGGCAGAGGATGATACAGGCTGGCAGCGTGTTTTCTGCACATCTGGTTCAGTCAAGACTGTGGATTGCAGATTAACAACCTCACACCCTTGATGGCTGTGAGAGGTGTGACACCTCTAGGAGTGAAGCCTTCAAGGAAAGGAGGGGAGGGGAGGACTTTATTCTGGGGTCAGAGATGGCCAACCCTTCAGTCCATCATTTAAAAATCTCATTGCCACCCACAAGCCTGTGGATGACTGAGAATATCTCTCTCCTTGGAAAGAGCAAAGGAATGCTCCTCACTGGGGGAGCTGCAGACCCACTTACTTCCACCAAGAGCCAGCCCACCCACCATGGGCTTCAAGGTGAAGGGAAGGGTGGAAAACATCCATTCCACACCCAAATCATTACAGATAATTAAACTGAGTGATAATTGATGCCAGATCCCACAGAAGCATTGGCCAAAGCTCCTCTGTGAGGTTTATTCCTCCTTGGAAGGGACTTTTGGAACACACATCAAATTGCATCCTCCCATAGCCCCTTCCAGGGTTTTCCAGAAATGGGGTAACGGGATGGGCATTTATCTGTCTGGTTTTTTCTCGGAATGAGTAGTCACTTTTCTGTTCCTGATGACCAGCTGGCCACTGAAGAACTACTGAGCCAACAGCTGCAAAAGATAATTTTGGCAACACCAGCCATGATGCAAATTTCAAAGTCCAGCTGGTTCCACTGCAAATAGGATAAACACAAACAGCTGAAAAATTAGTAAACCCAGAACTTGAAATACTCCAGAGACACTGAAACTTTCAATTTTATCATCTTGCACATCCTGCTGTTGTCTGTGGTCTTAAGCCTAGACATCATTTTTGTATTTCATCTTTCTGTCTAAAAGTTGTATTTCATTAGGAATTAATCAGTCCTTGTAAACAAAATATTTGGCTT